TAGGCTCCGGTAATTGTGCCGATCGACTGGAAGCAGTTTAGCCACGATGAACGGGGATCGCGACTGGGCCACCTGGTCGTTCTACACCGAGAGCCAGACTGGACCTACGGTATAATATTTGAATATTTTTAGACTTCTATAAATTACGGATCTTTCGCATTATCGGGGGAACCTTTGTCAAAGTCCAGGAATTTCTAGTAGCGTAGTTTTATGGTTTTTAACAAAATAGAAGTGGATTTCAACTCGAAAATGACCTTAAAACATTGAAAACAACTCTTTGAAAGCTAACTCTGGCCAAAACGGTCTCTTTTTCGTCGAAAATCTATCAACTATAATAATTTTGCTGTGGTGTCCGTCCGTCTGTCTGAAGCCAACTATAACTCGAAGGGGAAAGGAGCTAGAGCTTAGCTCTCTTCGGATTCGGATAGAGCATGGTCAGAAACCCCTTAAATGATCAAAACATTATAAAAAAGTTTTCGTTTAAATAAAAATAATTAACTTTGAAAGTGGCGCCTTAATAAAACGAGTGGGGGCCCTCTCCCCGGCAGGCCACGCCCCCTTTCTCTTCGCCCCTCTTCCCCAAGGCCCTTCCCGCGCCCAGATGCCTTTTTTGAGTTACTTTAATACTTTTTAATATGTTTTAATTATGTTAATTCGTTATTTAAATCATTTAAAGTGTCGGGATGGAATCTAAGTAGTTTTTAAGGGGGTTTCGTATATGGGGGGTATCTGAAGCCATCAGGAAGGTATTTTGGTAGTTTTTGAAGGGGATTTCAGCCATGGGGGTATCTGAAGCCATCAGGAAGGTATTTTGGTGGTTTTTGAAGGGGATTTCAGCCACGGGGGGTATCTGAAACCATCAGGAAGGTATTTTGGTAGTTTTTGAAGGGGATTTCAGCCACGGGGGTATCTGAAGCCATCAGGAAGGTATTTTGGTAGTTTTTGAAGGGGATTTCAGCCATGGGGGGTATCTGAAACCATCAGGAAGGTATTTTGGTAGTTTTTGAAGGGGATTTCAGCCATGGGGGGTATCTGAAACCATCAGGAAGGTATTTTGGTAGTTTTTGAAGGGGATTTCAGCCACGGGGGGTATCTGAAGCCATCAGGAAGGTATTTTGGTAGTTTTTGAAGGGGATTTCAGCCATGGGGGGGTATCTGAAACCATCAGGAAGGTATTTTGGTAGTTTTTGAAGGGGATTTCAGCCATGGGGGGTATCTGAAACCATCAGGAAGGTATTTTGGTAGTTTTTGAAGGGGATTTCAGCCACGGGGGGTATCTGAAGCCATCAGGAAGGTATTTTGGTAGTTTTTGAAGGGGATTTCAGCCATGGGGGTATCTGAAGCCATCAGGAACGTGTCTAAGGAATTTTTGAAGGACTTTTCGGCTATGGGGGCATCTGAAGCCCTCAGGAAGGTATCGAAGTAGTTTTTTAAGGGGATTTCGGCTAGGGGAGGTATTTAAAGCCTTCCGGAAGGTATTTTTAAGGGGGTTTCGGCTATGGGGGGTATCTAAAGCGATCAGCACGGATATTGATAAAGTTAGAGAAGGAATGTGGTGGTGTAGAATATGGAAGGTAGCCCGAAGGCCAGCCGATTACAGCCGCGACGCGGCTGTAATCGGCTGGTCAACTATAATAATTTTGCTGTGGTGTCCGTCCGTCTGTCTGAAGCCAACTATAACTCGAAGGGGAAAGGAGCTAGAGCTTAGCTCTCTTCGGATTCGGATAGAGCATGGTCAGAAACCCCTTAAATGATCAAAACATTATAAAAAAGTTTTCGTTTAAATAAAAATAATTAACTTTGAAAGTGGCGCCTTAATAAAACGAGTGGGGGCCCTCTCCCCGGCAGGCCACGCCCCCTTTCTCTTCGCCCCTCTTCCCCAAGGCCCTTCCCGCGCCCAGATGCCTTTTTTGAGTTACTTTAATACTTTTTAATATGTTTTAATTATGTTAATTCGTTATTTAAATCATTTAAAGTGTCGGGATGGAATCTAAGTAGTTTTTAAGGGGGTTTCGTATATGGGGGGTATCTGAAGCCATCAGGAAGGTATTTTGGTAGTTTTTGAAGGGGATTTCAGCCATGGGGGGTATCTGAAGCCATCAGGAAGGTATTTTGGTGGTTTTTGAAGGGGATTTCAGCCACGGGGGGTATCTGAAACCATCAGGAAGGTATTTTGGTAGTTTTTGAAGGGGATTTCAGCCACGGGGGGTATCTGAAGCCATCAGGAAGGTATTTTGGTAGTTTTTGAAGGGGATTTCAGCCATGGGGGGTATCTGAAACCATCAGGAAGGTATTTTGGTAGTTTTTGAAGGGGATTTCAGCCATGGGGGGTATCTGAAACCATCAGGAAGGTATTTTGGTAGTTTTTGAAGGGGATTTCAGCCACGGGGGGTATCTGAAGCCATCAGGAAGGTATTTTGGTAGTTTTTGAAGGGGATTTCAGCCATGGGGGGTATCTGAAACCATCAGGAAGGTATTTTGGTAGTTTTTGAAGGGGATTTCAGCCATGGGGGTATCTGAAACCATCAGGAAGGTATTTTGGTAGTTTTTGAAGGGGATTTCAGCCACGGGGGTATCTGAAGCCATCAGGAAGGTATTTTGGTAGTTTTTGAAGGGGATTTCAGCCATGGGGGTATCTGAAGCCATCAGGAACGTGTCTAAGGAATTTTTGAAGGACTTTTCGGCTATGGGGGCATCTGAAGCCCTCAGGAAGGTATCGAAGTAGTTTTTTAAGGGGATTTCGGCTAGGGGAGGTATTTAAAGCCTTCCGGAAGGTATTTTTAAGGGGGTTTCGGCTATGGGGGGTATCTAAAGCGATCAGCACGGATATTGATAAAGTTAGAGAAGGAATGTGGTGGTGTAGAATATGGAAGGTAGCCCGAAGGCCAGCCGATTACAGCCGCGACGCGGCTGTAATCGGCTGGTTTGGGATAATTTTTACGCAAAGTTTGATACAAAGTTAGGGTATTTCTTTTATCAAATTCTTTCTTTCTATCAGTATCTAATTGTAAAGTAATTCATTGTTTTCTTCACGAGAATTAGCATAGGAGATGATCCCAAAGCATCGCAGTCTCAATTACCGGCCCTTCCCAAAATTTTGTTCGGTATATTTTTTGAAACATTCTTTCGTCTGAAATTTTCAATTCGTTTCATTGATCTCGGCAAGTGGGGTAGGCTAGCAGACAATATTTGGGGAGAAGTGGTACGCGAATATCTGACAGAAAATCAGGGCAAACGCCGTAATTCTGATATTGCGCGCAATTCCGGTTCAGAATTACAAGGCCCCTCGCCACTTTCATGTCGGATTTTTGTGAAACATTCTGGAGAAAAACGAAAAAACGACCAATGTAATTTTATTAAATGGTTTGGGTACGGTATTGCCGGGCATACTGTTCGTAAAAAACTAAGAACAACGCAGCACAGCTTTAGGTAAAGCACAATATGACTTGACAAAAAGAGAATTGAACACCAACCGACCGGAACGATGAATTAATTACGATAAAGATAAGCTAAAGGCACGACTTTATGAAACATCGGTTCTCTCGGAGTGGCTAAAGTGAGCTTTTCTTATAAAATCAGTCATTTATGGCAATTAATAAACAACATCAAGTTTATAGACACGAACTAATGATATACACCGAGGAACAAGGTATTTCTCTCGCGTGAGACCAAATAGATGAACGGGCGGACGGCGTTGAAGTTCCGCGGCGGGTTCGCGATGGAGCGACAAAGACGGCCAAAGACAGCGGTGACGGCTGCGGCCTCGGTTCCGGCTTCGTTCACCTTGAAAGCATCGAAAATTTAGCGTGTAGTCACGACATTAGTATACTAACGTAGTGGTTCAGCAAGCCGCTGGAAATAACTCTTTTCCGCTTATTTTGGCCGTTCGATTAGCGATCTTATTTGCCTATCACCGGAAAAAGTGGGTCCCCCGCTAACAGCGAATGATGATAGATCGATGTTTCATGAAAGATGAGGCTACGCAGTGCCATCACGATTCTTCGGATCATTAGTGCGGCACCCGGGCCCTGGGTGCCGCTATGCAAAAATTATGGTGAACCGGGGTCGAACGGCACCAACGTCCCACACGGCCTCAATGGGTGCTGGTGTTTTTGGTATGGTTTTGGTTTGGTATGTGCCAATTGAGGCCGTGTAGTCCGGTTAGCACAAACGGTCGGCGCCGGTGAGATGGAGCAATAGTGGGCCAGGTGGACAACTTTCGTTTAACATAACCACAGATGGCAAGGCGCTGCTCTGAATTCGATACAGCAGCAACACGCAAAGCTCGCGAATTTGGAATGTAACACGTTACGTCCGTCATCAGTATACTAGCGTAGTCATCATCTTAGCGCGGCACCCGGGCCCAGGGTGCCGCTATCCAAAAATTATGGTAACCCTCCATCCAGAGGATGCAGAGGCCTCTGCAGAAGCCCACACAACCTCAATGGGTGCCATTGTGGGCCAATTGAGGCCGTGCAGTCCAGTGCGTCCATACGCATTAGGCCAGCGACGCACGAAACACGGTATTGTAAAGTAACACGTAAGGTATGCGTGCTTAAGAAAAGATGGGCTCCTGTAGGACACACAAGGGATTGTAACACTTCAAACTAATTCGAGCCTGCCGATTTTTGAAACGTTTTTATTGGCGCACAATGGCGATGCAAACGGGAATTATACAATCGAATGCGTCAGTGTGCGGCGCGTATCGTAGACGTCGCAAATTCACTAAGGAAGCGATTTTTTTACACAAGTTCCGCCATAACCCCGAAATTCAAAATTTAAACAACCATAATCTCGAAATCCCAAAATCCCGACATCGAAAATCCCGATAGGGCAAAATACCGTCAACAAAAATCTGGTATTTCCGAGGGTTTTACCCAAAAATGGTGTTAAAATCTGAGGTGTCTGGCTGTCGGGGTTTTGGCCCTTTCCCCCCCTCAGTCCCTCGACATCTTTGAGTGCCATCCAAACTCTCAATCAAAACCATTTATCATTTCTCAATGCTTGACACCATAGAAGAGCACATCGTTTCCATAGGAAATCGCATAAGAAAACGGACGCGTGGCGAAGAATTGGTTGGGTGGTCGCAGCGATGCAGAGAGACACTTCCGCATCACCAGCCCGGTGACGGCCGCCGCTTCAGCGCCCTCTTCGTTCACCTCAAATGGTGGGAATGGGTACTTTTTAAAATTTCCATTTCAGGAACGCAAATGTTTTTCGTTCCGTAATGCATAGGCATTGTTGTAGAGCCTAAGCCCCCTAGTCTTGCCGTGGTGTTGCGTGAAAAAACGATAGAGTATGGAGAGCCAAGCCAACGAAATCTATGGTCATGCCTTGCCAATTCCTTTAAGGGGGCCAGGAGACGAGACACTGCCAAAATCAACGCTTTCGATCGACTAGATCTCGACAGTACGCCGTATCTACATCCGCTACAACATCAATCTCATTTCCTAAGCCTACTAGAGGTCGCTAGAATATATTTTTGTGTAGAGCGTAGTGTCGAGACCTAGTCGTCAAAAGTTGTCGATGTCGGGGTTTTTCGGGCCCATTAGCCAATTAGTCGACAGGTCAGGCAGAAAAACAAGTTGTTACAACTTTCCATGCAAGTCGCAGATAAAATTAGCAGCTTAATGAACGGATTACAATTGCGTGCAATTTTCGCAGCTCGGGGAGCTTGAAGTTTATCGGTTAGTTATAGAAAAAACTAGCCATTGGCTACAACAACAATCAAAAAAAAAAATGCGAAACCCGTAAGCTACGCTCCGTGCGTTACACACCTTTGCGCCCCTTGCAAGGTTCAAAACCAAGCCTTGTACGGCCCCTTAAAGAGCGCATCCAAGAGGGTACCTTACGGGATTCCGAAAAATATCATGCATAGTAAGCAAGATTAACAACGTAAAGGTGAAAATGTTAGATACAAGAAATTGCAAACCATTCCGTTAATAGTGCAACCCCTGGAAAAGCACGTTCTCCCCCTTTCCAATCAGATACAAAAACGGCCTATTCGCGACAAATTCCGGGCGAATCACAAGACACTTTGTCCTCCGCATCACACTTGCTGTGACGGCCGCCGCCTCAGCGCCCTCCTCGTTGATCTAAATTCGTGGGGTGAGTCAGACCGTGCGACGAAATACCAGACGAGACCGGGACGCAACAATTTACCAAAAACAAGCCAAGATTAGGAAAAGGGTTGAGAGCATGGGAGGGAAAACGAATTGAAACACAGAAATTACCAACTCCCCCAAAACATCCAGTAAGCATGAAACTACTATCCACTTTATCGGGTTTTTTTTGGACGGCCCGAATCTAAGGACACAGGGAGGTACCCAAAACCAGCAGCCTAGAATTGAAGGAGACCGTTGGCCTGGGCAAAGGGAGAATTGTAGGTTTTGGGCGTCTGCGTTCGTCGAATTGTCTAGCTCGAGTTAAGATCTACGGCAGAAATTAGTGAAACACAACCTCGTGCTTGCTTTGCGTTTTTTAAGGATGCCGATCAGTGCTCATCCAAATTTGGAAAAGGGCCAATCAGTTACTCTATGCAAAAACCGGGGGAGAGCCTGAGATAGCGCAGTGCCACCCTGGATAACCAGTCCACCTCAAAAACGAAGCCACGGCAATGTCATAAGTCGACGAAAAGTGTGTTTCATCATTACTATGGGGGCGTTTGCGGGCGGGGAGCTGTAATTTCTTTTGTTTACGTGCTGATCATGAGGTCGTTCTTACGAGAGAGCGTTCTTTGAGATTTCTTTGCTGAGATTTTTAATAACCTAGGGGTTGTACGAGACAATGCTAGCATATCCCAACTATTTCGATGAACTAACAGCTAAAGCACCGGAAGCGTCAAAATTTCGCCAATCGTCATAAATGGGACAATCGATATGTTTCAGAGGTTTTGAGGGGCATTGGCTGTCAGGCCACTTCAATCCGGTTCGATCCGAATTCTGGTATAATATCAAGGGCTTCATAACCGTTTATTCCTCTTTCAAAGCCAACTTCAATGGTAGAAACCGTGGAAAAGGATGGCTTCGTCACCGCGTGTGATGGCATACAGGAATGGGTGATCAGCCGAGAAATCTGGCCAGTCATCCATGCACTGCAGCTCCAAACCGACTGCCGTGACGGCGGCCGCTTCGGCGCCGGACTCATTGACCTACGGCTTAACTTTGAAAGTTTGTAGGATGCCGAGAAATAAGATAGTAACGAAAGGGAGAAGGAATAAAGAAAGCGTAGCAATAGCCTTGAAAAAACCGCTAGCGCTCCTACCTAGGTTTTCCGGAAATGTATAACAACTCAAAACGTCGGTAGCGAGGCAGTAAAAAATGTAAGATGGCGCAACCTACTCAGAGAAAGGTTCTAAAAAGCCGTAGCGAAACGCGCAAAGGCCAAAAAAGCCAAAAAAACGCTGAAAATGTCTCTTCTTTCTCGAAAATCTAGCAAAATTACTAAAGAACTCGATTTATTCGAAAAAGTTAATGAAATGTCCCCTGGAAAAGGATATCAAGACCATAGGTGATCTGGTAGAGGAATGGCTGTGTTGCCTCGCACCGGGGGCACAGAGGGCGTGCGCACTGCATTTGCAGCCCGAACCTGGTAATGGCAGCAGCTTCCGCGCCCTGCTCGTTGATCTACATTTTTTAATTGTACTACTTTAACTACTACTATTATTACTACTTTAATTGTACTTTTAAAGTTTTTATGAGGTCAAGGTAAGGTAATAATAAAAGCAAGGGGAAATAAAGAAAGCACTGCGATAGCCTAGAAAAAACCGATGCGCTCCTAGCTACGCCTATCGGACGTGTATAAAAACGCACAAGGTCGGTAACTAGACAGTTAAGAAAATGCAAGGCAACGAAAACTACTCAAAGAAAGGTTCTAAAAAGCGGCAGCCAAACGCGCAACGATCAAAAAATTAAAAACAATCAAAATACACTCTTTCTTGAATAGTAAACACTCGGCAAAACTCGATTTATTCGAAAACGTTAATAATACGTCCCTTGGAAAATGATATCAAGACCATAGGTGATCTGGTAGAGGAATGGCTGTGTTGCCTCGAACCACCACACGGTCCACGGAAAAGAGCACTGCGGTACCAGCAAGATGGCGGTAATCGCAGCAGCCTCCGCGCCCTGTTCGTTGACCTACATTTTTGTATTTAAAGACTACCAGAACGATGGAACGCGCACTGTCACCCCGAGGGTGCTGCCCCCAAGAACGCGCAGAGAGCATCGTCATTAGTGGCGTCCCGTATTGGGCAAGGACCCTCTGGGGTTTGGGGCGCCTCTGACTCCCTTCCCCACTTGGCCCTGTGGTATAGTGGCTAGCGCGTCGGACTGTGGCGCGAACCATCGCGGGTTCGACCCCCGCCCGGTGCGCAACTTTCTTGCTCTCAACGGAATTTCATCGTTCTGACGGTCTTTAATGCGCCATATTCAGGCATATGCGTATCATCGTCTGGGTCCCTCGCAATGGCTATTTTTTCTCAAGATCTGCGTATATAAGCAAGCGTCACGTTCTGGAGTTCTACAGGGTGTCCCAAAAAAAACGAACCATCTGGCATTTCGCCGCCTTACATCCGGTCGATCCCATACTTAGCACAAGGGTGTATTAGACCCTAAATAACCACAATCCTGGGTTATAGCCCGATCGCTACAGTAGTTTTCGAGTTATCGCCAAAATCCTATTTTTTTACGCGATTCTTAACAGTTTTTCGGCTATCTTTTTGGACTTTGCATCGATTTCCATCCACTTCCGGCTGCGAATCCCTAATTTCACTTAATATCGGGGGTGACTTTGAGTTACAAAAATTGTTTAAATCAACGGTTATTTGATTAATTTTATCAGGAAAAAATTTCTAAGGGTAAAGAGCGCCTGCCGCTTCATTTTCACTTAATGTTTATGGGGTCTAATTCCACGAAAACCCTATGAAAAATAGAAAATAAAGTTGGTTTTTGTTATAACTCGTGAACGACCGTAGCTATAGGGCTATAAGTCAGGATTGTTGTTATTTAGGGTTTGATACACCTCTGGTTCAAATTTGGGGCCGATCGGATGTAACACGGCGAAATGCCAGATGGTTCGTTTTTTTTTGGGACACCCTGTATATACGCACAGCGACTGGGGCAGAACGGGAGAGACGCAGAAATTTATGTTACAGTATCGAATATGCCAAAAGAAAGAATAAATATACAAAAAAGCCGGCTGCGTGGGCTTGGAAAAGCGAAAAGCTAAAAACGATCCTGTCTGCTTTTTCCGTGACGTCAGAAAAACCCGTTGATTGTCGTTAAAAAGTGCGAAAATCTATGCATTCAGCCATTGACCAACAAGTGTGAAAGTATTTATTCACTGAAAAATTCCCAGGAACAAGATGTTGTCTTTGCCGCGGAGATCACAAAACGAATAAGATTTACGTGACGTAAATTTACGTTGCTGCAACTTTTCGCGGATTGATTGAAAAATTCCCTTCGGTGGAAGGTCGTTGTTGCGCGTGATGGCGTATAGGAATGGGCGGCGTGCCTCGAATACATTGATGTCTCGGGCGCACAAGAATTCCAATTTGACGCCTGTAGCCGCCGCTGCTTCCGCGCCCCACTCGTGGATCTACAGACAGAAAAAGTTTTTAAAGAGGTACGAAAACGCGTATTTCTTCAATTCAAAGGGCAAAAAAAGCAAGCAAATTCTAGCGCATCCGTAATTTTGCTAGCCGTAATACATTTATTTCCACAACTCATTGAAAAATGCCAAGGAATAAGTGGTTGTCTTTTCCGCGGGGATCGCAAAATTCATGGGGTTTGCATGGCGTAAATGTACGACCCTGCCACTTCCCCTGGAGCGTTTGGAAAATCCCTTTGCGCGGAGGGTCGTTCTTGCGCGTGATGGTGTAGAGAAACGGGCGGCGTGCCTCGAATGTATCGATGCGTCGGGCGGATATGTAAACAAATTTGACGGCGCTTCCGCGCCCCACTCGTTGATCTACAGTCAGACAATTTTTTTGAAGATGTACGAAAACGCGCAGTTCTACAAGCAAAGCGCAAAAAAGCAAGCAAACTTTACAGGCTGTTCCAATAAAAAAACACCCCCCACCCCCTCTAACTCGAGGTCGAAGTATCGGACCGGAATGATAGTTACACCATTCGAAAGCCCTTGAGACGGCGAGTTTCCAAAGACCTATACAACTATGTTTTTATTGAACGGCGCCATTTTATAACGCGTTTAAGAACATCAAGGAACGATATCTAAATGACCGGCAATCGCCGTTAATAAGATGCAGTTCCTCGATGTTCTTAAATGCATTATAAAAATGGGGCAGTTCAATAAAGTACATGGCTTTGAAGATTGTTGCTAACTCGCCGTTTCATGGGCTTTCGAATGGTGTAACTATCGTTTCGAACCACAACTTAGCGCGACGAGTTAGAGGGGGGTTTTTTATTGGGCACCCGGTGCAGTCGGAAAATGCTCTTTGAACGGGGTAGAAAAGGACGCATTGCTACAGCTAATGCCAAAGCAAGCAAACACAAGCGAAGTGAGAAGTATAGGAGAATTCAGAGGTTTTAGAGAAAGGCGTAAGGCATGCTTGTAGGCCGTAATAAATTTATTTCCTCCATTCACTAAAAAATTCCGAAGAATAAGATGTTGTCTGTTTCCTGTTCGTGGCTTATAGTATAGGAATTACGAGACGTAAATTTCGATAATAACTTCTCGCGGACAGAGTGAAAAATCCCTTGGGACATGACGTCGTGCTTGCGGGCGATGACGTATAGGAACGGACGGCGAGCCTCGAAGTGACTGTAGCGTACTACTGCCGCACATAAGCGGGCAAAACCGCCGGCTGTGACCGCCGCCGCTTTCGCGCCCCTCTCGTTTATCTACAGGAAGTAAATGTTCTTTGAATAAGTACAAAATCGCGCATTTCTACAACAAAGAAGCCAAGGACGAAGAAATAAATGCGAAGAATGTCGGGCCAAAGCGGGGGTTCAGAAAAATAAAATACTACAGGGCGATCCGGTAAAGAAAACAACGCCCACTAACTCGACGCGGAAGTATCGATCGAATTGATAGTTACACCATACAAAAGCCCATGAACCGGCAACTTTGCATTTAAATGCGCTTTTTACAAGCCCTTTTCTCAGATCTTCGGGTTTTTCGGGGTTGCATACGAGCTAATTTGCCTCAATTTCTCCAAGCGTTAAATGCGCTGTAAAGTTACCGTTGAAATAAAACAAGGTTAAAGGGATGCCGACGGCATAGACAATCGGTTACGCGCGGAAAAAGAAAATGTCTCTGCGCCTATCCCCTGGGCGCGCTCTCTCCCCTGTTGGCTACTTGCCAATTTGTTGATGAGGGGGGGGGGATCGACACATGCCGTCGGCAGCCCTTTAAGAAGACCGATGCGAACTCGCCGTTTCAAGGGCTATCGAATGGTGTAACTGTCGTTCTGATCCGGTTTTTCGCCGTCGAGTTGGAGGGATGTTTTTTATTGTGACACCCTCTAAGAAATAAGTAAAATGCAATGGGAAGATGTTTTAAAACACGCGCAATACAAGTCGATAAATTTTGCGAATATGCCTTGAGAAGACCCAAAAGGCAGCAACTTTATTGACCCAATTCAATAAAAAGTGCCTTGGAATAATAGATCGGTCTTGCGAGCAATGGCATATAGGAACGGACGGCGGGCCCAGTATAGCTTGCAGCGTCGCGCGGAGCAGATCATGAATAGGGCTGTGACCGCCGATGCCTCTGTACCCATCTCCGTGACCTATAGCCAACAAATTTTTCTTCAAGAAGTAAAAATCGATTCGACAGGCAAGACAGAGCAAGCAATTTTTAAAGGAATGATAAGAGGATGCAGTAAAATGTAAAGCGCTATCGCGGAAATCAGGAAATTGACGGCCATATGTTTCACGACTTTCTGTCGCTGCTCTTTATAGGAGCTGGGGAATAGCGAGTCAAGGAAATCCGAACACCGTTCTGTACCTCACTAGAAAGTTTCTCCATGCTCGATCTCCTGGCAAGGCTTCACAAATTCGATCACCTCTTCCTCTAACAAGGAGTGCTTTTTTTGAGTCATCGGCAAAACCTTACAAGACCTAGCTCATTCGATAGAGAATTCGATTCTTAACAACACCCCGTTGTTCTTTTTTGCAGAATGACTATCCCTGATTTTATAAAATTTTAAAACTGCACCCAAAAGCCTCTCTTTTGGCTCGAAAGGCACTCATGGTAAGAGACGGCACTAGTATTTTAATTTTATAAAATCAGGGATAACCATTCTGCAAAAAAGAACAACGGGGTTTTGTTCAGAATCGAATTCTCTATCGAATGAGCTAGGTCTCGTAAGGTTTTGCAGATGACTCACAAAAAAGCACTCCTTGTAAGATAAACCCTGTAGGAGGACGACGCACTATTTAAAGCTCCGTCCCATGTCCCGTCAGATTTTATGTTCCAAAAAACCCTCAATCTCTTCTTCCAGCACAGGTCCGTGCAGCCACCCAAATTCCGTGTGGATTCCACCTGGAATTCGGGTGGAACGCATGGAAATTGGGTGAAAATCGGGTGGACGCAGTGGAAATGGAGTGGAAACGCGACGCGACGCGACCACCATGCGACGCGGCTATTGGAAATCGAGTGGAAACCGAGTGGATCCACTTGGTTTCCAATCGACTTCCAAGCGTTCCACCCGGAATCCAAACGATTTCCATGTGGAAGCCATTCGCGTCCGCTAGTGGAATTCCCCTCGATCCCCTCCGGGATTGCGAGCGGATTTCGGGTGGATGCACTGACCTGTGAGGGCAACTACCTCATCAAGGAGAATGACACGGAATTTGCAAGTCTGTCTAATTCCCCCACCCTTAAAAAAACTTAAAACGGCGACAAGTTCCGCGAAATCGCAATAACAGCCCATAACAACCCCAGTAAAACCACGACATCTTTCCAGTTGCGCCCTGAACACGCCAGAAGGCCGCATCGCTCAAAGATTACACAAATGCGGCAGCAGGCAACTCAATTCCCGCTCCACCACTCCCCGATAGCTGGACCGGCCGTCCAGGTGACTCATGTCCTCTTTCTGCTTAAAGCGCACGTTCAAGGAGGGGCCGTGTACTCGGCCCAACGTGTAAACCCTAAGGACGTTGGGACTGCGCGCGCTGCCTGCCCGTGCCGTGGCAGGCGATTCCCCTCCTTTCCCGGGCGGGGCGCCCCTCGCCCCCTCGCCAGGTTGTAGCGGTGGCTGACCGGTATCCATCCGCGCCTCCCGAGCGGGGGCCCCGGGTTCGACCCCCGGTCGCGGCAAAAATCTTTGCTTTTTTCCAAAAAACGTCCCTGAACGTGCCCTTTAAAGGGGCTCCGAACTGCCAAATTTAAGCCCTTTTGGGAGGCCTCTTTGATTTCTGGCAAACTGCCAGCGGTCGCTGCGGGACGACGGCCCTCACTCTTTCGATTTTTGCGCGAGGTTGTTTTTGCCCGGTTTCTTTGTGAAAACACTATAATTCGCGCATTCTGAGCCCATTTTTTAAATCCTCACCCAATTTTAAATAGTTTTGGTGTTTTAATCATCAAATTTGGCCCAGAAACAGCCGAGAACGTGATTTCGAGGTGACAACAGGCCATTTCAAATTTGCGAGCTTCCCGCGCCCCTAGGTGTACAGAGGCCTCCGACGTACAGGGCTCCGATTTTCGGGCCGTCACTCAATTTTTGGCGTTTCGTAGCCCCTTTAATACACAAACCCGAGAAACCACGTCCTTTGATGAGTTATAGTACACACCAGGTTAATCTGGATCACAGAACACAAGTCACAACCACAACGACAATCTGGCCTGTATGTGCGACACCAGATCGTACTCCCTACAACATACACCGCAAAAACAACAACACACCGGTGGGGGTTAGTGGCAAAGCACGACAAGCAAAAAAAATCCAAAAGCCAAACAATTCTTTCGAAGCTTGTCAAGCTCGAACCCGCAAAGCAAACGCTTCTTAACTTCCAATTGCCAAAAATCAAGCAAAAAAGCATTTTTTAGCATAGGTACGGAACTTGAAAATGACCAACCTCGATCATGGCCTTGTGGATGACGTCGCTGACTTTCAGGGGGATTTCGCAGATCTCGCAGAGGTTGGCATCGTTGGTGAAGACCTCGTTCAGTCCGATTGCTTCAAGATTTTCCTTGGCCGGCATGGTGGACTCGATTTTGAAGCGAGGCAGCATCACCTGAATTTTGTAAATTAATGTGTTATTTTCGAGTGGATTTTTTCCTCTTTAAAGGGATCAGGACGGCGAGCTTCAATAACATAAAACACTAGACGAATGGGCTCTGCCCTCGTTTGCCTGTCTGCGCTCTATCTTTTCTTTTTACATAACGTAATAGGTTGACTTTTTTAACTGTCCCCAGGCTTTTGTAGACTGTAAGTGATTTCGAAAACTAACTCGAACAATCTGACACTAGCCAAGACAATACATTAATTTTTTTAGGTGAGAACCGATGGCCTAAATTTTGTGAAACATCGTCTTTAAATTTTCCAAATTTTCTAGCAAAAAAGCACTTTTTTAGCAGACGGAAGAACTAGAAAATGACCAATACAAATACAGCTCCAAACCTAAGACGAACCACATATTAAGTTTTTTAGTGGCCGACAAAAAGCCTAAATTCTGCGAAACATTTGTGTCTGTTTTGTGAGCAAAACGTGGTTTTTTAGGAATTACTTTCCTTTTTAGGAATTTTTGGGAAGGAATTCTTGTAAAGTAATGTAGCGTTTTCAAATTGTAACGACCGAGCAGCGTTTTAAGGTAGTGAAAATCGTCAAGTATTAATGAAGATTACCAGAGGGTCTTTACTAGATTCTTCTGAAACTAATGGAGCCCTAAATTACTTGAAACCTGAATTTTGAAAATTTTTCAAAAAGTGGTAAAGTGTAATGCCTAATCGATTACCGAAAATGATAACAGACTCCCAAGAATACTTGGTCCGCTCTTCACTGTATTTTCCCAACTTACATTGCACTTATCGCTGGTGGCGTTCTTCATCAGGTCGATCAGTTTCTCGCCGGTCAGCCCGTTCAGCCAGTCCTTCAGCGGGAGGCCCTGGAATCGCATAATAATATATTTTTGGTCACAATTTTTTCATATAGAAATTGTAAAAAAGGCTCTACTCAAAATCTTAAAAGAATCTCAAAATTTGTTTAAAGAGCTGACGTTAAAAAAATTGGTTTCAAGCAACTAAATGGTGCGCGAAAATCTGGTTTTCGTAATGGTCATTAGTAAGTATGGTCAGTAATAATGTAACAGGAATTGTAGCAAGTATCTATGATTGCTCGAAATACTAGCGCCTTAAAATGCACAATTATGAGAATTTCATCCTTTCCCGTCTTTTTAAAGTTTAAAAAATTTAAATCCCTAGAAAAAGAAAAAGCAGCAAAAAAACCCCTTCTATCTCAAAAATAGGAATCGCAGAAAAAAAATATGTTGCTAGTAAAGAAATGGCCCGAGAAAAATCGGTTTCCTAATTTCGCATCGGTTCTGGCTTGTTTCTTAAACATCTTTTACTCCTAAATTTACTAATCACGCTTATTTAATAATTTCTGTAACAATATACGTTTTAAAAAGTTCTCTATATTTAATAAAATTCTTTCTGTTCCCCACCTCTTTCGGCAAGAAGAACCACATCTTGTAGGCGCCGTCCTTGTACGGCAGCGCGCACACCTGCACGTTTGGGTCGGAAAAGTTGAGGCCGACGCGGAGCTCGCCCCTGTACATGAAGTGCTCCTAAAAAAACGGAAAATACCCTTCAAGAAAGCGACTATACCTTTCGGACCCCATTAACCCCGTGAAAATCGTCCTCACGCGTCGCGTCTTTGCTGAATGGAGACGCCCACATTCCCTAGAAAACAGAATTTTTGCTTTTTCATTTTTTTACCTTTTGAAAAAGTATAAAACTACAAAAAACATGAATTACCTTAAAATAAACAGCATTAATCAAGACGGCGATGGCATCTCTGAACATGTCGGCTGAGACGACGTCCTTGATCTTGCCGTGCGTCTTCTCCTCGCAGTAGTTGTTGACAATCTGGAAGACGGGTTTAAAAAACTATATAAACCTACTAACTAGGGGAAAATATAATGATGATGAAACTTTAGAAAAGTCTAACTTCAAAATTTTAGAAACGGGCGCAAAACGCGTTCAAAAAAAGGTTAAAATAGTCCAAATTTGTTGAAAAATAGGTGAAAAACAAGAACATTTTAGAATTTGGCCAGACTGAGTTTGTAAATTTGGACTTTTGAAACCATATGAAAAGGCAAATGACTCGGTTTATCGATTCTAGAGCTTTTCAGTTTTAGAGTTTTAGGTGAACGTATGAATGCTTGGTTTTTCCCTTTTCCTGTTACAAAAAAACCACAATTAACAACGAAATCTGACCTTTGCCGCCCCTTCGCCGTCCTCGAAATTGTGGTTCTCGGCCGACGCGGCGTAGAGCTTGGCGACCTTGTCGTGGTAGGCCTTCTTCAGCTCGGCCTTGTTGTCCACGAAGAACTTGTTTGCCACCTCGACTAGATTCAAACCGTTATTTTTCCAAAATAACGTTAACTTACTGGTAATATCAGCCGGGTTGGCGCTGCCGAGGACGTGGAAGAGGCCGCTGTAGTGCTTGGCGACTTCTTCGTCGTTGCAGCCTTAAAAATAAATCGAATAATAAGTAATTTAGCTTAAAACTACCTCTAGATACCCTTTCGATCTATAAACGCCTTAGAATTACTTTCCTTAGTATTTTTTAGCTTCGTAACAAGAAAAAGATCAGTAAAATAAAGAAAACTTTGTTTTAAGTTGAAGAAAATAGTGTAATAACCGTTTAAACAGTTGTTTAAACCCAAAAACTAAAATACGCACTTTATTTACAACATTTTAGATCGTAAAAATGAGTACGACAGTTGATTATATAGTTTTCGGATTAGAAAAAGTATCCAAAAGTAAGAAACACCTTTTATTTAAAACTTTTTCGCAATCTAAACCTTTAAAATGCCTGGCTTTATATCTTTAGGTTACTAACAAACAGGTTACTGTTACGAACAACGCGTAAGATAAACGTTATAAACCCTCTCAAGCTAAAGAGAAAATAAGTTTCTAGGTTTCTACTGAAAAAAGCTATAAAAACACCAACCTTTCAACAAAACATTGGCCATCTCCTGGCGCGTGTGTCCGCCAGCGCCAGCGTGAACGATGGCTAGGGCGGTGGCGAGAGAGTAGGGCGAGAAGACGAATGACTTCTCGTTGTTGTTCAGCTTCAGCAGCTCGACGGCAAAGTGGGCGCTCGCTTCGGCGGTCATTTTCGGGTCTGAAAAACGAGAAATGTACTAGATTTTGAAAAACCTCATAAAAATTGTTGAAGAGCTTATTTCGAGAACCACAGACATCAAAAGAAGTAGAAGCCAGAGGAGGAATTACAGAAAAAGGCACTAAAACAAAACTTTCATAAGCGGCTCCGAAAGAGAGCATTAACGCGCGTCCAAAAGCCATAAACCGTATTTTTGAGGAAACATCTTTTCGAAAACTGTTTAAAGATTTTGTACGAGCTTCGTATTAAGATCTAGATCCAGACTTTAAATTACTTTCTTGAGCTATACAAATTCTAACTCAGAAATTTGGATTTGATCGGATCGGATTTTATTAGATTTTTAGCAGCCCTCCGAGCTAATCACTAAGAAAAATATGACGAAATATTAGATATCAAGTAGCGAACGGTGGGAGATAAATAAAATATAACGTTGCAAAAAAGAAAACAAATTTAGAAACCAATCCAATATCAAAAATTCGGGAAGTCCATCGAGTCTGGACATTACCACGCTTCCAGAACCCGCAAAGTAAATTTTCACTGAAACACCTTTTCGTGAAAAATTTTTGAGATTTTTTGCGTAATCTTTGGCCTTCAGAATACTACTTTATCTAGAGATTTTTAGTCGAAGTTCCGAACACGATTTTAGAAAATTTTTCCTTATTGTGACGCGGATTTCTTCGATTTTAACGTGTCGTTAAAAACATGCTGGAAAAATAAATGTAACAAAGAGTTAGGTCTAAAGCACAAGTTAGCAAAATTTAATGTGGCATCGTTTCCTTTTCTAAAGTATCGTTGACGAACGATTTCATTTTCAAGAACGGTCAGTAGATAGACAATTGTCGACTCCGCCCCCATTTCCTAACAAAGTTAAAGTCACCAAAGTTACATTCGGCGAAATTGAACGGGAAAAAGAGCATGAAAATTCTTAGGGGGGTATGGCAGGGAAATTCTCCAGTATGACTAGCTATTCTTCCAAATATCACTTATGAAAATTCGAAATTCTTTTGAAACCGCCGATTCTTGATGCCTATTAGCGCACTTCCCAGGGCCTTTAAGCGAATTTTTGGCGAAACACCTTTTCATTAATATTTTCTACACGTTCGCCTCCATATTTTATAAAACTGCTTTTGACTCGAATCGGCGAATTAGATGTTAGCAAAAGATTTTCGTATCCGGATCGATTTTTATTAGATCTTCAAGTCGGTGAAAGATACTGACTAAGAAAAATGTTACAAAACTTTTGGCGTTACAGGGTGACGGATGAAGGTAATATAGAACAAGTGGTCTTGAGATACCATTGAAGAGTGAGAAACTAGAAACTGAATTTGACTGTCGTCGCCGCCCCCAATTTCCTACCAAACATTTGTGAAACATCTTTGATTCACAGCGGTTTTGGGGGTGAAATCTAACAGGAAAAGGACGCTGAATTCAGGAGGAATTCCACAGTATGACTAGCTTTTTTTCCCAAATGGCACCTTGCAATCGCTAATGATTCGATTACCGGATTTCGAAGAGCTTATAAGCGTATTTCGAACGAAACACCTTGCCGAAAAAAATTGAATATTTTGCCGCATTGTGCCTCCGTACCGTATAAAACTGCTTTTCTAGAGTTCGAATTTCCGGACTAGTAATTAATAAAGTATTTCCGTATCCGCATCGCTTTTTTATTCGACATTTGGTGTTCCGGTAAAGCTAGTGCATCAGAAAAATTTTTTACCATGATTGGATCTCGGCGCTATTTCGGAATAGGGGACCCACTTTTATTATACCAAAACTGGGGTTTGTGCGCTGTTTTCCCGGATAGTTTTGCGCGCTGGTTCCGAAAAAACACCTCACTAACTTTAAAACCTAACATTTCCACAAAAAAATTTGATTTTTAGTTTAATGGGCTGCTAGGGAACCAAGCGGCGCAGGCCCGACTTTTGGCTACAATACACTCCTAGTTCCGTTTTTGAGGCTTAAACGTATGCATAAATAATGCTAAATGCTAGTAAGCCCGATCTTGGATTCATTGAGACCAAGCCTAGGCGACCCTGATCTACGTTAACGTGAGTAGAGCCCACCTGTAAACTAGGCCGGCTCTTCGCCCCTGTATCTCAACGATCCCCTAGTGACGGACATGACGATCAAAATGCCGATTCCCAGTCACCTGCTCGAAAAATCGCCTGATCGAAAATCGTCTGATCGAAAATCACCTGATCAAACATCGTCTAATCGAAAATTGTCTAATCGATAATAACTCAAAAGTAGTTTTAACACATGTTAGAAGCCCAAAAAACCCTAAATTTTTTAAGTTATTTTCGATCAGACGATTTTCGATCAGATGATTTTCGATCAGACGATTTTCGATCAGGCGACTGCCAACCCAAAATACTACTAGGTTAAAAGGAAAACCCACAAACGACCTGTTTCCGAAAAACATTTAATTTTCTTGGAAACGCGTAAACATTTTAAGCAAGTAGAAGAATGTTTCAGCGAGTCTAGTCGGAGACTGGGATAGTGGAAATTTAATCGAAACGAGCTAGCGTATTTTCTTTCGAAAGCAGCGCTAAGACCTTGAAATTTTGATTAGATAAGTCATTTGGGCCGTTCCCTTCCAACTTCGATCTTCCTCCTGCTTGCTTAAACAAAAAACTTGTTACAAAACATTCGGTCTGTAGAGGTAGCCATCTAACCTTAATAACAACAATTTGCGCTGCTAAATACCACTGAGATCGCCGTCAAAACATTTGACATATGAGTTCCAGCGAGATTGTCAATTCCTTCCCAAATTCCTGACAAACATTCCATCAAACATCTATGATTCACCGTGGTCTTGGGGTGAAATTGAAAGTGGAAAAGGCCTGCGAAATCGATGAAAATGCCACAGTATGACTGTCTATGTTTCGAAAGGCATCAACACGTTTCAATGGCTTCAATTGATGAAGCATAAAAATGCCAACCTACCAGTTTTACAAAACATTTACTTTTCAAAAGATTTGAATGGGGGGAATTCCAGGAAAAAATCTGAAGATCAAACTTTCGTGAAAAATGGTAGCCTGAAAAATAGCTTGAAATTATCATTTTTATGCGTTTTAGGCGCTGATTGCTAGCACTATTTTTGTTAATTGTACTTCGTTCTGTACAGAAAAAAATCGGAAAAAAGCTTAACCGTATAACTCCTTTCCTTATGATGTATAAAGAATCGGGTCAGGAATCCCGGGAACAATTAGTTAGGAATAAAAACATGTTTCAATACTTTGAGCCCAGAAAGGTCGGCGAATAAAAACTATTGAAGGCACTGTTCTCGATAATCTAACGCCCCGAAAAACTAAATTTAGCTTGACTAGCATAAATTATAAATTATAGGAACACTTATACTAAGATCGTAAAACTTGCTGTTTTCGATAGTCTATAAAAAATAAGCGATTTCCGAAAAAAAAGACTGAAGGAAAAGTATGGTTCAAGCTGTTTGGTCTAAAAAGTCGTTTAAGAAACCTTAATGAACAGTCATTTCAGCTCGTTAAAATTCAGAGGTTTAAATCCTAAATCGTAGCGCATCCGGGACACCGAAATTAACAGACGACAACTTGGCCTTATGGATTCATATTTTCGCAACATATCGAGAATTGGGAAATCCGGAGAAAAATGAAACGGAAAAAATTATGCTTCACACCCATTGACCATGAAAATCACCCTGGAACAGTTAATGAAGCGAGGATCTCAGGGTTTATTTGTAGGCGCAAAGGCTAAATCTAACCTTCTGGCCTATACAGGGTGCCCCAAAAAACGAACCATCTGGCATTTCGCCGTGTTACATCCAATCGGTCCCAAAATTTGATGAGAGGTGTATCAGACCCTAAATAATAACAATCCTGACTTTTAGCCCCATAACTACAGTTGTTCTCGAGTTATAACGAAAATACTGTTTTTCCCGCAATCCTAAACAGTTTTTTTCGGCTATCTTTTTGGACTTTGCATCGATTTGCATCGACTTCCGGCTGCGAATCCCAAATTTCGCTTAAGAACTTGGGTAATTTTGCGTTGTAAAAATCGCTTAAATCGAAGCTTCTTTAATTAATTTTAATCAGAAAAAATGAAGAGAGGTCAAGAAGGCCTACCGGATCATTTTCACTTAATGTTTAGGGGGTCTAATTCCACGAAAAGTCAGGATTGTTGTTATTTAGGGTGTGATACACCTCTGGTCCAAATTTGGGACCGATTGGATGTAACACGGCGAAATGTCAGCTGGTTCGTTTTTTTTGGGACACCCTTTAGTATCGAAACCAAATAATTGATAGATTCGATAAAAATAAGACACCTTACACGATCCGGTTCTTAAATCTTAATAAAATAACCGTATCTAATCTCGTATATTTATACCTTAAACTTTTTTTGCCAAACCTATAGTGAATCGGGGAGGAGGTCAAGAGGAGCGAAAGAAAAATATGTTTCAACCCACAGTGTAAGGCGGGCCGCCAAGTCAGAATTAATGCGTCGGTACTCCGGGAATAGTCTAGTTATATAAAGAAGGAACCAACTAAACGAAAATGACAATAGAAGAGGGTCTAGCAATTGAGGAGTCTAAAAATCATCAGAATTCTACCGATTTTTAAAACACATTTTTAGAAAAATTGCCGAACTGATGAGGAATGGGCGAGAAAAATTGTTGAAATGACTTATTTTTGAAAGCAAAGTAAATTAATTAATAACAGAACGAAAATTCAACCTTTTACCCTCTTTATTGCGAAACATAAAAAAAGTGATAAATGCTATATAATAAGACACTTTACAAGGTATGTTACTTAAACCTTCTTAATCTAAAAATAAGAGTATTAAATCTAGTATAACTAGCATCAAGGTAAAGAAAAATTAAAACTCGAAATCTATACCAGATACCGTATACTCTCTATTTTTCAAACATACAGAAATCGGGGGAATTTGGCAGCAAATAATTCGGCGATTTCGAGTGGGGCCAGGCAGGAACGTGAACGTGAAAAGACCATTTGAGTG